ACACTATTTCAAGAATATTACACTCAGAAAGCGGGATAGGATTATATAACGGAGGGAACGCAGTGACCCACACTCATGTTTGTGTGATGTGTTTTGTTTGTGTGATGTTTATGTAGATGGTCGTGTGGTTGGTAAAGCACAGAGAACCTGTTGATGTGATTGTTTTTCCTCTGGTTTTATATTAAGCTTATTTCATTTAATATTCTATTCAGGGGACCTTTCTAGCTTGGTGAGTTGGTGAGCAGCTTCTTACACAAACCTGAAGCTGGCTTCCTATTCACCAGCTTCTTGTTCAAATTTTCCCGTTCCACCTTAAATGGTGCAGCTTCAGACACCAGAAAGCTGCTGCTGCACCATTTAAGGTTTAAACACTCACTGTCCACTCACTGTCCACTCTATTAGACACTTTTACCTTGTCAGTCCACCTTGTAGATGTAAAGCCAGAGACGATAGCTCATCTGCTGCTGCACAGTTTGTGTTGGTCATCCTCTAGTCCTTCATCAGTGGTCACAGGATGCTGCCCACAGGACACTGTTGGCTGGATATTTTGGTTTGGTGGACTGTTCTCAGTCCAGCAGTGACACTGAGATGTTAAAAAACTCCAGCAGCACTGCTGTGTCTGATCCACTCGTACCAGCGCAACACACACTCACACACCACCACCACGTCAGTGTTACTGCAGTACTGAGGATGATCCACCACCCAAATAGTACTTGCTCTGTGAGGGTCCATGGGGGTCCTGACCACTGAAGAACAGGGTAAAAGGGGGCTAACAAAGTATCAGAGAAACAGATGGACTACAGTCTGTAACTGTAGAACTACAAAGTGCACCTATATAGTATGTGGAGCTGATAATGGATGGCGTTTACCATTTTGTATATGTTTGAAAACAACATCTGAAGGAAAAATAAAAGATGATCAACTAACATGCTAGGAATTCTGGGCCTTACTCTCTCAATGCTCGTCTAGTAGAGTTTTTGTGTTCTTCCATAAAAATAAGTACACTTAAGTTTTCAATCAGACAACTTGCCTGGATTGAGTGACCACAACTATTTGCAAGATAGTAAACAATTATAACGAATTATAACTGACTGGTTAGTTATAACTCATTTATCTGATTATAACTAATTACAACCAATGATACTTTTATTATTTAAGTAAAAATAACATCAGGGCTTCTGGTGTGTGTTAAACTGCAGGATTTGTCTCGACTGTAAGAGTTTACAGAGAGGCTAAAGGTCCAGCGATTTGCATGGTTTACTCTGTTTTTTCATGATAACGAGTCATTTTTATGTGTTTTCTCAAGATTTCAAGTTTATATCATTTATATCATTATACCAACATAACAGTTGTTATCTCACTGAAAGAACTCCCATTATGTCATGATGATAACATAAATAACTCACTTTTACAGAACACAAAACATGTTTATTTTCTTTCTGAGTGAGGTTGGGGTGGGTACCTTTCTGGTGGGCCAAACTCAAACGTCCTTTGTGATGCAAGTTAGATGCTTAAATAACTAGAAACATGCACAATTATCAGCATGTGAAGTTATCAGGTGCCTCAAGGTGTTAAATTTGCTTCACCAAACGTCTCTGCAAGCTTATCATTATCAGTGTGAGTCCGACAGTTTACGCTCTTGAAAACGATGCTTTTTCAAGGGTTCTTTAGTAAAGAAAATGGTTCTATATAGAGCATTTTTGAAAAGGGTTCTATATAGCACCCAAAAGCTTGACATCGTAACAATAGAAGAACGCTTTTCAAAAAGGCTCTATATAGAACCAACTACAGCACATTGTGAAGAACACTTTCATCATGCAGAGGGTTTTTGAGTGTTCATGGTTCTATATGGAACCACTTTCTTAACTAAAGCACCATCTTTTTTCAGAGTGCAGTCAGCGAATTAGTCTTATTTAATATGTGTGTGTGCAGTATATATTATTAGTAATGTATCTCTATTTAAAAAATGATTTGATGAAAGATTTCAGTCATGTTTTGCTTTTTTTTGCCAGAAACACACAGAAAAACACATCGAGTGCAGACAATTACTTCGTTATGTGGCTAACTACATAATTACAAACGCAGTTGAGTAATTTAAGTAAGTAATGTGTATTTAATTCCTAGCAAAAGCTGAAAATACACTGCGCTTCTAAGGGTCAAGAGAATGACTTGGCATATTCTTGAACAACATGCCTGGAACATATTTGTGCTTTGGAAGCCACATCTGGATATTGTAAGTGAAGGGTCAGCTATGGGAGAGCAGGGGGGGCTCGGGTGACGCTCGGAGCAAATCTTCAGCAAACATTCCATCCAGGAAACCAAACAAATTGAATTTCGCAGGAGGGCCGTGGAGGACTTTATCTGATTGACTAATGACGGGGCTCGGACCCTTAGATGCAAAGGAAATGCCTCATATAGGCTATCGCATTCTGTTCCCAGACACGCAAAGCTGCACATATTTATTAGGACTTCGGTTCTGATTGTTGCACAGTCTAAAAAAAAGCGATGCTGTCCAAGAGCAGCAGATTTAGACCCTAAATCTTCACTACACTGCAAAAAACGGCATCGCGTCAAGTAAAATGATCTTAAATCTAGTCAATAAATCTAATATTTCTCCTGTTAAGATTGTTATAAGCTTAATTTAAGACGTTTTAATTCATTTCTAGGCGTTTTGTACTTGTTTTAAGTGATTTTATTAAGTAAATTTATCTCACTATGTTGGCAGAAATGAGCTTGATGCCAGCAAAATTACCTGCCAGTATAGTGAGATAATTTTACTAAATAAAATGACTTAAAACAAGTGAAAAGTGTTTAGAAATAAGATGGATAATCTCATAATCAGTGCACAACCATCTGAAAATGGGAAATATTAGATTTATTGACCAGATTTAAGATCATTTCACTTGAAAAGATACTATTTTTACAAAACTTTCTACTTTTTCACATGAACTTTAAGATTAAAGGCTCTTTTTCTTCACCTGTAGTGCTACTTTCTTGGAAGTATGTGGTTTTGTTCCAACAGTTCCACACACATCTCATATGAAATAACAGTAAATGGGTAACTACACTCTTAAAAAGATGCTTCAAGGGGTTCTTTAGTAAAGAAAATGGTTCTATATAGAACCGTGAACACTCAAAGAACCTCCATTTGCAGTGTAGCATCCAAAGACAAGATGCCATTTTTTGCAGTGTAGGTTTATTTTGTAGCAGCACAGGTGCTACAGCAGAATCTTGTGGATGGACAAAGAAAGCGCTGCATGCTGGGAACACATGCAAATGGTTAATTCAGCTTTTCTTTTCACGTGATTAGTAGTGCCTGTCTAGCTCAAGCCATAACCTGGTGTGCTTCATGGTTAAAAAATAAATGGCTCTCATTTTTTACCAGCTCTATCAGGCTGTTTTCTCATGCGCACATCCTGTAATGTTATCAGTTGTAAACAATAGCACTGTTCTTCTGCTTAGATAGGCACCCCAGTGTAATCGACTTGCTGTCCTTGAAGAGCAGAATTAAAAAGCTGGCCAAACTGCAGAGCTGTTTGTCTTGTACATCTTTTGAACCTGTTTTGAGACCTGAATGAAAATTCTGCAGGGCAGCTGGTTCACAGCAGCTGCAAGCAATTACGATTTGTATGTTTCACTCAAGCAAAGTGAACTGAGTAGCTTGAGTGGCCCTGCCGGCCCCTCTAAAGCTCAAACTGCCTTTGTTTTGGAAAAAAGTGCCTTAGTCTGCATCAGTGAGAGAACAGCGAGTTCTCCTTTAAGACTTAATCTCACCCTAATACCCGTTTTCGGATGCTACACTGCAAAAGAAGGTTCTTTGAGTGTTCACGGTTCTATATAGAACCATTTTCTTTACTAAAGAACCCTTGAAGCACCATCTTTTTAAGAGTGTAGTTACCCATTTACTCTTATTTCATATGAGATGTGTGTGGAACTGTTGGAACAAAACCACATACTTCCAGGAAAGTAGCACTACAGGTGATGAAAAAAGACTTTAACCTTAAAGTTCATGTGAAAAAGTAAAAGGTTTTGTAAAAATAGTATCTTTTCAAGGGAAATGATCTTAAATCTGGTCAATAAATCTAATATTTCCCATTTTGAGATGGTTGTGCACTGATTATAAGATTATCCAGCTTATTTCTAGACATTATTTGCTTGTTTTAAGTGATTTTGATACTTTTTACGATACTGGCAGGTAATTTTGCTGGTTTCATATTTCTCAAAACAAGCAAAATTATGTGCCAACATAGTGAGATAATTTTACTTAATAAAATCACTTAAAACAAGTAAAAAGTGTCTAGAAATATATTAAATAATATTAAATTTGGCTTACAACAATTTCAGCAGTAGAAATATTAGATTTATTGACTAGATTTAACTTTACTTGACAAGATCCCATTTTTTTCAGTGTAATCACTACCAGTCAATATTTCACTTTCTTCCATCTTGCAAATGCTTTTACACTGCAAAAATGGTGTCTTGTCAAGTAAAATTATCTTAATCATAGTCAGTAAATCTAATATTTCTCCTGTTGAGATTGTTTTATTTTACAATTCAATTATTTAGCTAAATAATCTCATAATCAGTGCACGACCATCTCAAAATGGGAAATATTAGACACATCGACTAGATTTAAGACCATTTCACTTGACAAGACATTATTTTCTGCAGTGTAGTGCTTTCAACCATGCTTTTTGCAGAGAAACCATGTGCTGTGTGAGTTGTGCTCCTGCACAGCAAAGTCTGGACATTTTAAGACCTATTATACTGAATGATGGCTTATTGTGTTCCTTTGTGCCCAAACAGACTCATATAAACACCACAGGTGTTAATTCAACACTGTGATTTCTCAAAATGCATTTTTCTCATTTCTGTGATTGTCTTTAATTCTTCTCAGTCACTGGCAGGACGTTGTATAATCGCTCTAAACGGGGGAAGCTGGAAGAAGGAGGGGTGTGTATTATCCTTTCGGAGTATAGGCTCTGGTGGGTGTGGTTTTTGTGCTCTCACACATTTAACAGAGCTCCAGCCTGCACATCTGCATTTCTCCAGCTCCTGCCCTCTGCATCTCACAGGCATGGTTGCCCAAGTGACCAGCTCGCTGGTCAAGTGCCTGCTGATCATACTCGGACTCATCTCTGTCATCGTGAACATCGTACTGATCTGCTTGAACTCAAGCAGGCTTCTAAAATGCCACCTCCAAGTGCAGGACTCCATCGCAGCCAACCACACGGACCACAGCACGATTTTTGCGGACCTCACGCCGCAGGAGTACCTCGCGGTCCGGGATTACATGTGGAACCAGAAAGATTTGAAGATTTCCCGTTCTGCAATTGCAAAGCCATCAGAAAACTTCCTCTTCTTGATTGACCTCCTGCTTCCAAAAAAACAGGATGCTCTAAATTATTTGGACAAACGTGGTCCCAAACCCCAGCGCAAAGCCACTGTGGTCGTGTTCTTCGGGCAGTCCTCCTATCTCAAGGAATATGAGGTGGGACCCCTGGATGGTCACTTCCATCACCGAGATGTCACAAAGGAAAGGTACAATGTGGAGAGTCTACCTTTCACAGCCAGGACGGTGACCATCGGAGAATATGTGGAGCTTTTCATATTCCTAGAATTACAAGTGTTCCGGAAGCTCGAGAAGGAGCTGAGAGAGAGCTTTGGCTACATTCCAGGGAAGAGGAACCTGAACCCATTTGAAGGGATGCCCAGAGGACTGAAGGCAGGAGACCGAAAGACCTGGATTTCTTTCTTCCGTGACGAAAGCGGGATGTACATTCATCCAGTGGGTTTTGAAGTCTTAATCGACCATGAGAGTAAGAACTCGTCCGACTGGAGCGTGCTCAAGCTGCTCTACAATGGAAAATACTTCGAGACACTTGAAAGCTTCAAAAGGGACTATGAAACAGGTGCAGTGACCAAGATCGTCTACAAGGAGATTCCGAACTATGCCTCGCTGAAACCGAGAAAGAAGCCCACCGGCTTGAGTCCGCAGCAGTCTTACTTGCAAGGGAAAAGGTTCAGCGTGAAAAACAACCAGGTGATTTACATGGACTGGACCTTCGCCTTCGGCCTGAGCTCGCTAACGGGAATGCGCGTGTTTGACGTTCGCTTCAGAGGGGAGCGGATCGCCTACGAGATCAGCGTCCAGGAGGCCATGTCCGTCTATGGGTCCAACACACCTGGCATGGCCCTCACAAAGTTCCTTGACTCAAGCATCGGAATTGGCCGCTTTGCACACGAGCTGGTGAGGGGTGTAGACTGCCCCCATGTGGCCACCTACGTTGACGTCTACCGTTACATCGACACAAACGTCACGCAGCGCTTCCGCAATGCCATCTGCGTCTTCGAGTATGATGTTGGGCGGCCGCTCAGGCGCCACTTCTCAGACTTCTTCCACAACAGCTATGGCGGCATGCCCAACAGTGCCCTCTACATCCGCACCATCACGGCCATAGGAAACTACGACTACATATGGGACTTCATCTTCTACCAGAGCGGCTCTGTGGAGGCCAGGGTGCATGCCACCGGCTACATATCCTCATCCTACAAGGTGGACGGAAGCCTCAGGTACGGCCACCAGGTCGCGCAAAACGTGCTCGGAAACATCCACACGCATTTCGTCAACTTCAAGGTGGATCTGGATATTTTAGGTATGTAGATGTACATACCTACACCTAGTTTATATGTGAAATCGTGTGAGGGTTTGTTTTAAGGGCTCAAATTTTCCTTAATTTTTTGGAAATGACAGGTTTAATGTACACATTTAAATTGCTGGTTCTTTAATGGTTCTTTAATAAATTTAGAAAATGGTTCTATAAAGAGCTATGAACACTGAAAGAACACTGTCCATGATTAAAAGGTCCTTTGCATCATGAAAGTGTTCTTCAGATTGATAGAGAATGTGCTGTAAATGGTTCTATATAGAGCCTTTTTGAAAAGGGTTCTTTGTAGCACCAAAACGGTTCTTCTATTGTTACTATGTCAGGCTTGTTACAATAGAATTGTGGTTCTATATAGAACCCTTTTCAAAAAGGCTCTATAAGCCTGATATCGTAACCGTAGTAGAACCCTTTTTGGTGCTATATAGAACCATCTACAGCACATTCTCCATCAATCTGAAGAACTCTTTCACGATACAAAGTATCCTTTAATCATGCAAATCATGTGAGGGTCCATGGGGGTCCTGACCACTGAAGAACAGGGTAAAAGGGGGCTAACAAAGTATCAGAGAAACAGATGGACTACAGTCTGTAACTGTAGAACTACAAAGTGCACCTATATAGTAAGTGGAGCTGATAAAATGGACAATGAGCGTAGAAACAAGGAGGTGGTCAGAATGTTACGCCTGATCAGTGTATTTTCTCATTTTAATTGTAGAAAAGGGTCTGGGGCTGAAATAATGCTCAGGGATATAGCCCAATATCCCAGAGTGAGTCACACCCTGACTCTGAGGTATAATGAGAGGCTGTGAAGTGAAAAATGAATAATATTGTTAATTCACTCCACATTTGGTTCCCCAGGCGAGAGTTTGGTGACTCAGTGAGAGGAAACAAGCCTGGCAAGTGCCAGTCAAGTACAAACATGCACTGGGACATCCTGCCTTAGAATAAGTGACGCATAAAATGTTCCTCCTGACCACTCTTGGACTTCCCTGACTTTTGTCAGGTGTTTGATGAATATAGGAATTCATTCAACGCAACAGATATAAAACTCAAAAGTGTTTTTTTTTCCCATGTAAAAAATGTTTTACACATCTGAATATTCACTATTCAGTTCAATCTTTTTTTCAGTGGTGCATATCGAGTGTTTACTAGTATGTTGTTAACAGAGGTGGGAACAAGTCACCAAGTTGCAAGTAACAAGTAAGTCTCAAGTCTTTACAATCAAGTCCCGAGTCAAGTCCCAAGTCAAGATAGTCGAGTCTCGATTCAAGTCCCGAGTCGGTACAGGCAAGTCTCAAGTTGAGTCCCAAGTCAATAGTCCTAATCTTCGAGTCCTAAACAAGTCAGTCTGCATTCTTCAGCTAATTTAAGACCATAACACTGAATAGTGTACTATAGCCTTTTACTATAGCCTTTTACTTTTAATCACGGTGTGTTAGCCGTGTATGGCTGTGTATTAATTTTGTATTATTATTATTTTTTTACTCTTTCATTTAAAATATAAAATCCCAGGTACACAGATAACCATGATAGGCATACTGTATAGAAGAGTAGTGCGACTTCTTTGATGAATTTGAATCACTAAAGAATTTTAGGAACTACTGAACTTAAATAAAATAAAAATTATATTTGAAGTCATTTTTGGGAACATTTTGCACACAGGATTAAAGTAAAATCCAGCTCAGCACTAAAACTAGCTTAGCCAAATAAAAACAACCACGAGTTTGAACTGAATTTAGACAACAACAGAAACCAAAATGGCGGAGCTGAACAAACTTTACAGAAAAGACAGCAAAACGATGGTGAATATATGAAGCTGACATTGACTTTTTTCCACCAGCTTCTTATTTGAATTTTCCGTTCCACCTTAAATGGTGCAGCAGTCGGGCTCCGAAACGTAACTGCTGCACCATTTAAGATGGAATGGCAAATTCCAATACGAAGCTGGGGAATAAGAAGTCAGCTTAAGCCTCGTGGTGAATGTTGTGCTTGTTTTACCTGCAGAAGCTGTTAAAATCGTCAAATACAGAAAGCTGTGTTTCTTTAGTTTAACTACCATGAGGAAAATGGTCAGTTTGCCTGGTGAGGCTTATGGAGATGAACTTGAGCTCTAATGATTCACTCGTCTTCTGAATTGAAATGAACCGAGGAGAAGCTCAGTAAAAGACATCTGACGACATCGCTGTTTATTCGGTTTACGGCAGGAAAAAAATTCATTCACATGAAAAATAATCGACAGTGTAGAGGCCCGTCTGCAGTCAGGCTCTCCATGTTTCTTCCACTTTGTGTCTCGAGTCTTTCTGAGTCAAGAGGCTCCAGTCCGAGTCAGTGTCTGAGTCACTGGTGTTGAAGCCACAGTCGAGTCCCAAGTCTTTCTCAGTTTTCTCAAGTTAAGTCTAAAGTCATCAAATTCATGACTTGAGTCAGACTCGAGTCCAAGTCATATGACTCGAGTCCACACCTCTGGTTTTTAATATATAACAAAGGCAAACTGCAACTACAGTCTGCAGCACTATAATCACTCTCAGGTCACTTGTGTATCGTTGTTGTCGGAAGAAACCTTGTATCGTCATTTTTGTTATTTTTCAGTTTTTGATATAATTTGAATGTACATGTTTCCCTTTACATTGTGCGTAAATTTTGTGATGAATAGACTAAAAGAAATGACCCAAAATGACTTGGAAAAAAGTCCGGTTCCATTGACTTACATTAAAAGTAAAGTAGGTTTTTCCCTTCTCCTGTAAAGTTACCATTTTGGAAATACAAGGTTTTCTTCCGACAAAGAAAGTTAGAGAACATGTTGAAACTCTGGTACGTTTTCATTTATACCTGGAAATAAACACCAGAAAGTCTTGAAAATAATAAAACTAAGAGAAGTTGTGATGAGTACGCCTGATCAGTATATTTTCTCATTTTAATTGTAGAAAAGGGTCTGGGGCTGAAATAATGCTCAGGGATATAGCCCAATATCCCAGAGTGAGTCACACCCTGACTCTGAGGTATAATGAGAGGCTGTGAAGTGAAAAATGAATAATATTGTTAATTCACTCCACATTTGGTTCCCCAGGCGAGAGTTTGGTGACTCAGTGAGAGGAAACAAGCCTGGCAAGTGCCAGTCAAGTACAAACATGCACTGGGACATCCTGCCTTAGAATAAGTGACGCATAAAATGTTCCTCCTGACCACTCTTGGACTTCCCTGACTTTTGTCAGGTGTTTGATGAATATAGGAATGTTGAAACTCTGGTACGTTTTCATTTATACCTGGAAATAAACACCAGAAAGTTTTGAAAATAATAAAACTAAGAGAAGTTGTGATGAGTAATGAAGAAAAAAGGTTCAAAATTCGGCACTATTTCTAAATCACTATTCAAACTGAAGCTAATATGTGAAGCTGAGCATGTTGAGGTTTTAGTACTGAAAGGTCTGATTGTTTTTAGTCTGATCTCTTCCAGTGAAGCTTGTGTTCAGACGACTCTCAGGTGAATCTGATCTACTCATGCGAGGCTTTTGTCCATGCCAGCTCAAGTGCACGCTGTAATAAAAGGGACACACCACCAAATACTAAGAAATTCTGAAGTTCGTGTTGAAATTTTAAAGGTTCTACTTTTCACTCAGACTGTAATGCTGGTAATTTCATTTGCAATGAAAAACTTTGTATTACATTAGAAAGAAATGCAGAATAGAAGCATTTTGACCAGCACATTCAGACTTTTGGACCTCACTGTGTAAAGTGGCCCTAATCAGAATTAGTGTTAGTGCAGTGGTCTTTAATGGTGCTGTAGATCTCAGTAGTACAACAAAATCACATTCTTAGTGTGTCTCCTGATCTAACCTTGTTTTTTAAATATCATCACAAAATCTTTTATCTCCTTTTTTAAGTTTTTCTTTTTAATGGCATAATTTATAAATACCAGCCACCGTTTACACCGGTCAGGCATAAGATTATGACCACCTCCTTGTTTCTGTGCTCATTGTCCATTTTATCAGCTCCACTTACTATATAGGTGCACTTTGTATTTCTACAGTTACAGACTGTAGTCCATCTGTTTCTCTACTGTTACACCACTACTGTTTAATGGTTCTTTAAAGAACTGTCTTTGTAAATGACAAGTATTGATATAAATGTGAAACTTGTTAAACTTTAAAGGGCCCCAAATCATGAGAACCTGAATTTTCCTTCCTATTGTGAATGAATTGTTTTTGTGATGTCACAAAAAAATTGTCCATTTGCAAATATCCAGCACAGTATTTTGGCCCTACCCATTTGGGTGGAAGTAATATGACGTATTGCTGTCTGGAATGCTTTTTGATGGAGGCACAATACAGGACAGCCAATCAGAACAGAGCCGATTCACATATATCGGTCTTAAAGGCGCATTAACAAAAATTACCTGTTTAATTCTAAGGGATAAAGAGAGGTTGGAAAACAGCCAGGAAAAATGACTTATGACTTTTATTTTGTGCATAGAACCACACAAACTCAAAAAAGCTGACCTTGGAGGGGGGGGGGTAAAATGGAGGTAAAATGCAGGATATGAGCCCTTTAAAAAACCTCCACGTATTGTAATGGTTCTACACCAATTAAAAGTTGTCCTAGAACCGCACTGTCAAACCAATAAGCATTTAGAAATCTATTTTTTGAAAGTGAAAATGACTGTAACCATGGAAATCATTGTATTGTCACCATTTAAAGGAGTGTAAGCCCACCTTAATTGTGGAAATGGGTGTGGCAAGTGGGAGATAACATGAAAGAAAAAATAAGGGCCCTTTAAACAAACTCTACATACTGCAATGGTTCTGCACTAATTAAAGGTTTTCCTAGAGCTGCACAGTCAGACCAACACACACACACACACACACACACACACACCTTCTAAACTGCTTATCCTTCTGGGTCGCAGGGGGAGCAGGAGCCTATCCCAGCTGTCACTGGGCAGAAGGCAGGATACACCCTGGACAGGTCACCAGTCCATTGCAGGGCAGACAGACAGACATACACATTCACACACACACATTCACACCTAGGGGCAATTTAGCATGTCTTTGGACTGTGGGAGGAAACCCACACTAACAAGGGCAGAAGACACACACTCCACACAGAAAGGACCCTGGTCGCCCAGCCGGGAATCAAATCCAGGCCCTTCTTGCTGTGTGGCGCCACCGTGCCGCCCAGCCAGACCAACAGCCATTTAGAAATCTATTTTTTGGAAAGTGCAGGTTTAAGCTGGTAAACTTCACTAAACCCAAGCTTTGCAGGTACAATGAAGGCTTGAAACTAGAGTTGTGTACAGTTTCCTAAACCCACCCTCCAGTAAAAATATTCTTACTTCAATTACATAATGACTTACGCAGAAGTAAAGTTGTGTACCAACGACTGCGTAAGTCTGGAGAGGCCATGAGCTGTTGTTATAATTTTCTGGATTGTTATCTTGAGATCACAAGATAACTAACTCATTATTTCAGGATAACAACTTTGTTATCTTGAGATAACAAGATAATTAACTTGTTATATCAAGAAGAAAAAGACAACTTGAGTAGAAATACAAAAGTAGCAACATGTGGTGTTGGGCTGAACCCGCGGGGAGTAAAACTGTGGAGGTGCTGTGTCCTTCACTCTGTTGTCCTCCTACATGGCCTGCTGTTAGTGTGTGTGTGTCTGTGTGTGTATGTGTTTGTTTATATGTGTGTGTGTGTGTGTGTGAGGGTAGACCACATGGACAGGCTGCTGACTGGCTATAGCTGCTAAAGGAGAACCCTACACTGGACACTTTTTACATAAATTGTTGTGGCTGTATTGATTTAAAAACAATAATGTGGTGGGTCCACCAGACCACTGAGTAACAAACACATCAACACCACACAGAGGATAAAAAACCGAACTTTGTTGGTTCATCTGGCCTAAACAGCTTTTGTAACGTCCCATTCATCTAATATTAATGTCTTGTTTTAACCTGAAGGTGTAAGCAATAACTTCCTGACGAAAGACATGGCGTTTGAGGAGGTGACATTGCCATGGACGACTGAGCGGAAGGTGAAGGTACCGTACCTGGTGGAAAGTCAGAGCAGGACGGAGAAGGAGGCAGCACTGCGTCATGGCGCTAAAACCCCCCGCTACCTCCATGTGGCCAGCAGTCTGAAGAACCGCTGGGGTCACGACCGCTCTTACAGGCTGCAGTTGACCAGCTTTGCTGGAGACCATCTCCCTGAGAGCGAGCCGGAGGAGAGGAGCATGTCCTGGGCTCGGTGAGAGAGTTCATTCATAAACACGTGTTCAGCACATGATGACATGGGTTTCACAAGTTTTAGCATAGCCCAGAAAACGAGGGCAAGTCTAGCATGACCATGGAAATGAGTGTAAACCTAAAATCACCACAGAAATTATAGTGGCCTAATCATAGAAACGGTTGTAGCACAACAACTATCTAAATTAATGTAAGCCTATTGTATCCATGAAAACGGTTGTAGCAAAATAATGGATATCAGTGTATTATAAGCATGGAAGTGAGTGTAGCATAACAACGAAAAACAAGTGAAACCTGGCATAACCATGGAAAAGAGCATAATGTAAGCATGAAATTCGCCACAGCGTAACTATGGTAATAAGTGTAAACCTACCATGATCATGGAAATGGGAGTAGTGTAACCATGGAAATATGTGTAAACCTACCATAATCATAGAAAACGTGTGTAGCATAACCATGCAAATGACTAAAAAAACTTACCATAACCCATAGAAATGTGTCCCTGGTAACCATAGAAATTGTTGTAGTGTAACCATAGAAAATGGATGTAGCATTACCCATAATAATGTAAATGAGAGTAGTGTAACCATGGAAATGAGTGTAAACCTACCATAATCATAGAAAAAGGGTGTAGCATAACCATGGAAATCACTGTATTGTAACTATGGAAATGGCTGTAGTGCAACCATGGAAATGACTAAAAAACTTACCGTCACCCATAGAAATGTGTCCATGGTAACCATGGAAATTTTTGTAGTGTAACCGTAGAAACAGGTGTAGCGTAACCGTCCAAATGAGTGTAAGCCTACCAGAGTTGTGAAAATGGGTGTAGCATTATCCATAATTGGGTGTACCATAACCATGGAAATGAGTGTAAACCTACCATAACCATGTAAATGGGTGTAGCGTAACCATGGAAATCACTGCATTGTAGCCATAGAAAAGGGTGTAAGCACCTAAAATAGTCTAAACCTTAAACATGCGGGGTGTGATGTTATCACACCACACGTTAACAGGGAAAGGTGTAGCGTGAAGCCCAGCAGCACCACTGTGTCTGATACACTTACAGCATTTCATCGAAATATTTTTCTCTGTAATCAGAGATACTAGTTTGCGGTGGTTTAAGGTCTTATTGAAATCCGTGCTGAACTCCTGAAAAAATACTTAAATACATACTTAAAACGTTCCTCAAATGTTCTAAAAGCGAAAAGTTCTATTTAGAACCATGAGTTCTGTATAGAACCATTTCATGCTTAAATGGTTCTTTGCATTGTGAGATAGAACCTTTTTGAAAATGGTTCTGTATGAAGCCAAAAAGTTTTTTTTATTGTTATAAGCTTGACATTGTAACAATAGCAAAACCCTTGTTGGTGCTATTTTCAAAAAGGTTCTGTATAGAACCATCTACAACACATTCTCCATGAATCTGAAGAACCATTTCACAGTGCAAAGAACCATTTGAGTGTGAAATGGTTCTATATAGAAGTACTGCTGGTTGTTCGAATGGTAATAATTTGAAACGTTAATTCATTTATGACCTGTTGTAAAGTGTAAAGCATTCAGTCGTACATGAACTATTCGACTATGAATTAAGTGACTATTACTGACCTCTTACAATCAATAGAGAACGTTTAAAGCTATGTATTTACATGTCTAGTGTATTTTAAAAGGAATCCGGACTAGATAGCCATCATGTGGTTGGCTCTGATACTGATTACATTAGTGACCGTGTCCAGTTCTCTTTGGAAGAAGACACCTGGGCACTCTTCCAGATTTCTTAAATGCTATTCAGAGTTGTTTAGATCTGATTAAAGTAGAAAGAAAATACAGTTTATATTGTTAAAGAATTACAAACACTGTTCTGTTTAGACAAATAGTGAGACATATTATTTATCACTTTAGCTAATAGTGATGTAAGATTATAAAAAGATTACTAATTATGGTATCGTTTCAGGTGTAATCTCTCCTCGTGATCTATTTCTTTCCTTCTTCAGGTACAAAGTTGCCATAACGAAGCACAAAGACAATGAGCCGACCAGCAGCAGCCTGTACGGTCAGAACTACATGTGGGAACCTGTGGTAGACTTCAGCAAGTACATTGAGGATAATGAGGGCATTGAGAACCAGGTGAGTTTTTCTGATATTTCGTGACTCATTTATGCATCACAGATACAGCTCATTCTTTTACACTGTGGGTTTGTTATTCACTATTGAGCTCAAGACTTCTTATTTCACAATGACACTCAATTAGATAGTGACGGTAATGGAAGGTAAAGAGGTTAAAGAGGAAATGTAAGTCCACTCACAGGTCATAGGAGTTATACAACAGTTAGTTCCGGCCACACAAGCTGATTGGTTGAGAAGTGCTCTAACTGTGTTGTTATTTCACCATAACATCACAGGTTTACACTCCGCTGAGACGCTGTTGCTAAGCAACGACTTTGACAGTTGTAGGAGACGCTCAAGCCATTTGAACATTTTTACTTCTTTCTTTGCCACAAACAGAAAATGGACACTTTTAAGATCACATTTGACCGACAACCTGGAATCAGCCAGAAATGAACCCAATACCATTCGCCAAACGTGTAGTCTGATCTTCAGAGTCTGACCAAATCAGACTGAGCCATAAAACTGCCGCAATATCAAGTTCAGCTCAGTTTTGTCAGTTCTTGCCAGATCAGTATTAATGTTGTTTTGTTCCAGCCAGTCTGTAAAGCATCTTACAGCCCATTTAGTTTGGCGAATGGTGTTGGGTTCATTTCTGGCTGATTCCAGGTTGTTCAGCTGTTCTTCTGTCACAGCTGCCGACTGAAAAGCTGCTCAGTGGTGATGACAGTTTGGGAATTTAGTGTAAGGAGCTGGAGAACGAACTGCCGGCTGTGCAGCGAGTGGGCAGAGCTCGTTACTCTGACGTAGCAACAAGCTGCTCGTTAAGGAACTATAATTTGGTGAAGGAACTGCGAACATTAAAACATATTAAACGCCGCGTTCACGGCCCAGTTTATTAATTTATTACTGTATTTATTTAACTGTTGTATTAAAGCAGTAGAACACTCGAGGAGTGTGTTATCGCCAATAACATCACGGCTGTGATGATCTACGGCGACCAAATCACAGCCGTGATGTCATTTCGTGACAACACATGACATCTCGTGTTCTGTTGCCTAATTATCATGGAAACAAACAATTCCCTGTTTTTGTGATGTATGAAAAACCTTAGAGCTCGGCCCTCAGTTTAAACCATAAATGTCAAAATGTGATTAAAAAATCACCCCTATGAGATTTGTAATTGCATATTAGCGCTCAGCTATCAGACAGGGACATTTTGTTATAACCATTATACACACGCCCCCCACACACACCTCCCAACCAATAAACGCATTTCACTGAAACTTTGACCTACTTTCTAGTTTGTTTTTATTTTGTACGCTTCTGTTTAGCATTCACTGTTTTGGTGATAATCTTTAATAATCACATATTAATTAATAGAATACTGAGTAATCCCAGATCTTTTGAAAACTGCTTGGCCTGCCATTTAAATAGATGTTACTGCAAATCTGTGCAGTCGTCCGCTTCTTCTGGTGTAGGTTCATGGCAACTAGCATACTAATAGTACCCTGCAAGCGAATTTCAAAGCCATGCCCACATGCTTTACATATTAAAAAATGGGGCATTTTCCAGTTTCATTATTCATTTAACCACCAGAACATTTAAGCTCTACGGAAAATACTGCAAATTTCACTCACATGCAGTAGAGATGGTGGGAAGTTTACTCTATTACAGCCCAACAGCTTTTAAAGGCTCCAGAATAATCTAATGCTTTAAAAGTGAAGGTGAACAACAATAAAACATTGTGTACATATTATTTAATGTTATTTATAATATTAGCTTTTTTTCTGATCCTGTTTCCCAGCTGTAGATGAGGATCAGATGAACTTTCTCAACTTCTGAAGGTTCCAGGGCTGGAGCTGTATCTGCTCTAAGAAAATACCAAAGTCTTTGCAATTATTTGGTCACTTTTAGTTCGGTTATTTTACTGCTGCAAGTGCTGAAATTACAAAGCACGTCACTGTTTATTTTCAGTTCCATGTACTCAAGTTAAACTTCTAAGCTGTACTGACTCCACACACCCCGTCTCGTCTCCAGGCTTTTATTTTACTGTTCTGTTTTAAAACATTCGGTTATGAAAAGGTACAAATACAAACTTTTCACCTGGAAAAACTTATTTAAGGTTCACAATCAGACCTTAAAACCACTGTTGTAGCTTTGAGGGAACATTTACACTGTTTGTACCTTGATGAACGGAAAATGAAACGTATCAGAACCTTTATTTCTAACAGTGTAGGACCCACCGACGATAGGGTCTTCAGGAAACCATAAGTGGTTCTTCCATGGCATCATTCTAAAGAACCATTTTGATCTTCTACAGGACTTGGTTGCCTGGGTAACCGCAGGCTTCCTCCACATCCCACATGCAGAGGACATCCCCAACACAGTTACTGTAGGCAACGGTGGCGGCGTCCTCCTGAGACCGCACAACTACTTTGATGAAGATCCGTCCATTCACTCGCCGGACGGTGTGTACTTCACGCCTGGCTCGGAGCACGACTGTGAGTACAACAAGGTGGCATGTTTAGAGAAGGATCTGTGCAGTCCAACACTGGAGCCCTACACCTACAACGGCTTTGAAGGAGTCATGAAGTTCGAGGGGTAACTCCTGTTGTGAATAGTAGCTGTAAGTTAAGGTGATTGGACATTTCACAGCTCATCTGAGCGGCTTCGTCAGTTGTGATCAGACGTCTTCCAGATGAGAGCAATGATGTTATTCACGAAGACTCCCCCCCGTACCAGAATCCGCAGTCGATCAGCCAAAATATGTTTGGTGCCTCATTAGTGTTGCCCTTCATTAGCTGCGAGGCTAATGTAGCAGTAATAAAAAGCTTATACACCCACCAATTAGCATGCTTAGATCATCACATTCAAACCTTGAACCGTGTGGAGTTGTTCAGTATCTCTGATAGACTTGATTATGTGGTTTCTGACACTGTATCACTTAGTCTTATCTGTAAACATGGACTTAAGTAGAGACAAAATTCAAACTTGAAAGATTTCAAGATGGCTCTTAATACTGTTTTTAGCTATGTACAGCTGTGACCGCTGGCTCAAAATCCCCAGAGTTTGGTGGAAAGAATAAACTGTTAGCCATGTAATAAACTGAACACAAGAAATGTGTAAGATCTCAATTAAAGCTGCACTATGTAAGATATTTTGGTAAAAATTGAAATAAGTAGCATCCCTGAGTCAGGAGGGAAAACACTCTCTAAAGTGCATGCGATGCCGCAAGCCAGAGGCGTCAGGCTGAGAGTTTTTCAGGCCACTGCACGTCTTTACCATCATGCACAGGCTCAAAACAGAAAGTCCAGCTCGATGTTCAGGTCTCAAACACAAAATCAACGTTATACTGATGAAGATATGATGAAAATAGTAGATAATTCACTTACATTCTCAGAAGACAAGTCCTTTATCAGGTTTTGAGTTCTCTTTGAATATTCTTTCAATCATCAGATTCATCCTCTCGGGGAAGGGGAAATTACACATTTCCACCAGAGAGGTCGCCAAAGCCCCAGAATCTTACACAGTAGGTGCGCTCCAAAGCCTGGGCTGCAGCCGAGGCAGGGCGGGTCCTCGGGAGGACTGTCCTATGAAGACTCTCTCCTTAGTAGCCTATTGGTCACACAAATGGAACAGTCCTGTGTCGTGACATCACCAGTAAAAGTCCCGCCTCTTGATATTGTGGCGCAGAACTTGTGAGGGAACTGGTGAGAGAAAATGGAGCCCGGTGCACTGCGTTTGTTGCTATGGTAGCTAATACACCAACAAGCTTATGTAGCACAGTAAACTACATATATACGAATATTTCTGATTAATATATGATATGAATATGGATGAACGGTTTGATCAATCATTTTACACTCCATAAGGTAACGAAGACAAATTCAAGGATGTGAACAACTTGCCTTTTAAAACGAGCTCTACTCCAACGGCACCGTTTTCCGTCATTTTCGTTGTGCTGTTTTTTTTTCTTTGCACCGTTCATACGCAGAGTATTGTGGGTAACCGAAGGCCTCAAAGGACACATCTGATGCATCCTTAAAATCACTCAGAATGTAGGCTGCATTTCTAAGCTGCCTACGAAGGGTCACTTTGGAACGGCCTTCTATGACGTAGAGGCCAAGAAATGCCTACCTCGGCTGCAGCCTAGCTTTGAAGCACAGCTAGTGAGTTTAGAAGACTTGAGCATTACGAAAGAAGAAAGGAATTGTTAACCAAAACGCTGCCATTGAAGCTGCATCTGCACCGCTATGGCGAACAAGTTGGCAGCCATCCAACGCTGGAATAGCCAGGTGATATGGGACCCCAGACAACAATATGTCAAACAGTGAAAGGTGTTTTAATGTTGCTAACTAATCATTCAGAATAGCTGCTGCTACAGCTTTCAGCTACACAAAGTACTGTTAAGTGTAAAATTCAATTACTTGTTAGCTATACTAGCCTCAAAACTAAAAAAAAATCCAGCTAAAAACTAAAGCAGCAGACTTCGGGCACCAAACATGTCTTGGCTGATCAACTATGTTTGGGGGTTGACTTCAACCTCTTTGGTAGGCCCAGACTTTATTACACACTCTTATAATCTAAGAATAGCTCAGCCAGTTTGCATTGAAGCCCCTGTAGCTACTGAAGAATAAGCCTTAGTATGTAATAAATCTGGGATCTTAAGGGGTGAAACCAAAAGTGCAGTCACCTTGATTTGTATTACTAGGCAGTTCAATGAGCCACATAATTAAAAGCCTTCTGTTAAACCCTTTTTAGTCCCTTTTACTCTTTTTAACCACAATATTAAGTCCAATACTTAAGTATTGTGATTGTATATTTGGTACATTTGTATTGTTTTTGTTTGTTTGTGTGGGGTTTTTTTCTATATTGTTTTTTTGTGATATCAATTATTAATACAGTTTTCTCTGTATTATTTTATTATTAATATCAAATGCACTGCAAAGACACAGACTCTTCATTAACTCTGTATTCAACACCTCGTTAGTGATATAGCTTTACATAGCTGTGTAGTCTGCAGTACTAGTTTGTGGAAGATCATCCAAACCCTGCCTCTGTTTCATTATGAGTTTCTGTACATTTAATTAGTACATACTGGTTTATGCAGAGGATTTCATTATGGAGAATTTTAAAGGGCCCATATCATGGAAAAACTACATTTTCTTGACTTTTGTAAAATAAAAGACTTTGTAAACCCAAAATTTCATCACACTCGCCACGCCCATTCATTCACACTGAAGTTATAAGGAGTGTTTCAGCCTGACTGCTTTTTTTGAATAAGGCACAGTAGAATGGAGCCAATCAGAATAGAGCTAATTTACATATATCACTCTTAAAGGCCCAGTCACAAAAACAGACCGTTTAATTCTAAGGGAATAAAGAGAGGCTGGAGATGCATTATTACATTAATATTAATTGATATGGTTAATTTAAACATGAATTATGGCTGTTTTTGTAAAAACGCATTTTAAATGGACCTCAGGGAAAAAATAAAACACAAAAAAAGGGTAAAATATGGGCCCTTTAAACCAAATGTGATCTCATCTGAAGCAGAACCTACTGTAAAATCCTACATTCGTGTATTGTGTTACTGTTGTGGAGTTATTTTCTTTGCTCTGCTGCATTTACCACCTTTCTATTCTACAGTATTTCAAAAAAAAAAAAAAGATCTATATGGCGCTGCTGCTGAGCGATTCATTACAGATACAGAAAAAGTTCTGACCAACCTCCTCTGATTGTCTTTTCATAGGGAATTCCACTTTTATTATTAAACAGAGAGATTCAGAGTGGTTTGGTATGAAATGGTTCAGATGTCTTTACAGTGGTGGTGATAGGAACCAGGGGTCACCATGACTACAACACAAATATAGACATTTTATTTACTATCCAGAACCACCAGTGAACCTACACGAGTCTTCTGAGTTTATATGGAATGTTGATGATGGAAAATAGTGGAAAATCTGAAATAATAAGTTTTCTTTTGGGACTATTTTGCCTCACAGCACCCTGCATATTATGTATCCCTCCACCATGAATGGAGTTTAAGGCCAAGATCTTCTCAAAACTATCATAAAACAGTGTCTCAGTCATCAGGCAGTGAATTCATAACCATTTCATGTAGTAACTTTCTGTGAGGGAGCTTTTAGAGGTGGACGTCTGGTTCCTATCACCACCACTGTGAACAGTTCTGACTCTGTGAGTTTCTCTAGAACGGAGAATTTTACACCAAACCACTCTGAACGACTCTGTTTACCTCTGTAGAGAATGAATTTCAAAGAACTTTATAATGAAAAGAACACAGTAGCACCACATGGCTGGACAGTATTAAGTGTGTAGGACATTATAAGAGACGTGTGCTGTGGAGTTATGAGTGAAATGAAATGTGGTTTATCTGTGAATCTGAACACTGAAACTTTAAAACCTTTTCATTTTTTCACTTTTTTTCACTTTTCCCTCTTTTTATTAGCTAAAAATGTGATCTTTAGCCTGGGTAGTATGTGTATTCAGTGTGTGTATTCAGAAGTATTACATTATTTTGTAGTGTAAAATATAGTTGCATGCAAAAGTTTGGGCTGCTCCTGGTCATTCTACAATGCTGCGTTGATTTTCTAAGTGTAAGTTAACACATCCTCTACAGAGACACACTTCTGCACATTTTAATACACAATTACTGTTTATTTAACATTTGAAAATTAAAAATATAGAATAAATGGGGTCTGTGCAAACTTTATGGCACATTTTGTATTTTATGTTTTTGAAAATAAATAGAAATTGTGCATTAAAATTTGCAGATAAGTTTTATGGCTTAACTTTTTTGCCATTTTTTCTATTTTCCTCCCCAATTTAACTGCTTGCACCCGGTAGCTAGTTCTCCCCTCATCACACCATACTACCAGTGCTGGATGAGGGTGAAGGCTAGAGACACGTGAATCTCCTCCACTCGTTTTAAAGCTACCATTGGAGCCCAATGCAACATCATTGGAGCTGCCATTTCTGTTGCATCACGCATAGCATCGTGCTGAGTGATGCAGGGAGAGGGAAGACCATCATACACCCCAGAGAGAGAGATAGAGAGAGAGAGAGAGAGAGAGAGAGGAGAACAGTTATGAAACTTGGACTCCCAGCCACAGATGGCTGTGGCATCGCCAGGGATTGAACTCGCAATCTCCTCATGATATTGCCCAACGCTTGGATGGTTGCGCCTCTTAGGAGCCCAGTATTCATTTACTTTCATTTTAAAAAATAAATAAAACATGTAATTTGACCGGGGGATTCAAACTTTGCCTTCAACTGTATTTTCAACATGTTTTTTAGTCTGTATCTTATATGACCACTGTATCTTTTTTTTAACCATTGGGATGATTTAGGAAACAACAACTAAATCAAGTGACCAAGACTACTGATTTCTAGAAGTGAAACTGACCACTTGATTTCTAGGCCACCGACTCTTGAACTGATTTTCTACAACCTTATTCAGGCATCGTCACTTACAGGTTCAGCCATAAAAATAAAACAGACATTAGGCAACTTTTCACTTTGTTGACTAAACAGGGTTTTGCAGTGACAGCCAATCAGAGACCAGGGTTTATTAAATGGTTATTCCAGCTTGAGAAAACAGAATTTAATATGTTACTTGTCATGTTTTGATGTTCTTTAGCGCAGCATTGCAACCTCTCAGGCTCACCCGCTTGACAGAATTCACAATTTTGTATCATTACGTTGTTTCAGTGTGTTTTCTCTCTCACTACGGTTCCCAGAATGCATTGCGCAAATCCAACATACAAAAATCTAAAAAAAATGTGTATGTTGGATATGCTGGACAGGTTACCAGTCCATTGCAGGACAGACAGACATATACATCCACATACACGCACAGTCACACCTAGGGCCATTTAGCAAGTCCAGTTGGCCTGACTGCATGTCTTTGGACTGTGGGAGGAAACCCACACTGACATGGGGAGAACATACAGACTCCACAAAGAAAGGACACTGGTTGCCCGGCCGGGGAATCGAACCCAGGCCCTTCCTGCTGTGCGGCGACAGTGCTATCAGAAAACAGTCGTGGCTTTTCACTTAGGAATCCTAAAAGGTCAGTTTCACTGACATTTAGCATCAGAGAGACGTCAGCTGGAGAATGATCGTTCTAATGGTATGAATAAACCTGCTACTCTCACTAAATAAAGGACCACAGAGGCTTTTCCTCTGATCTTAAATGCAGCTCAGTCGTCCTGCAAACAACCAAGTAACTCGTATCATCTGTATAAACAGCTTTGGTTCAATTCTGAACTAAACAATTTAAATAAATGGAAAGATAATCTGATTTGTAATCGTTGTGTCCTTTATTTCTTTCATTCATTATACACCAACCAGCCACTTCACTAAGTCCACCTCTTTTTTTCTACACTCACTGTCCATTTTAAGCTCCACTGACTATATAGTTTCACTATGTAGTTCTACAGTTACAGACTGTAGTCCATCTGTTTCTCTGGACCCTGTTCTTCAGTGGTCAGGACCCCCACAGGACCCCCACAGAGCAGGTATTGTTTGGGTGGTGGATCATTCTCAGCACTGCAGTAACACTGGCTTGGTGGTGGTGTGTTAGTGTGTGTTGCGCTGGTCTGAGTGGATCAGACACAGCAGTGCTGCTGGAGTTTTTAAACACCTCAGTGTCGCTGCTGGACTGAGAATAGTCCACCAACCAAAAACATCCAGGCAACAGCGTCCTGTGGGCAGCGTCCTGTGACCACTGATGAAGGACTAGAGGATGACCAACACAAAACTGTGCAGCAGCAGATGAGCTATCGTCTCTGACTTTACATCTACAAGGTGGACTGACAAGGTAGGAGTGTCTAATAGAGTGGACAGTGAGTGGACACAGTGTTTAAAAACAGTTGGTGTACAGTCAGGTCCATAAATATTTGGATGTTGACAAAGTTATTGTTATTTTAGCTGTGTATCACAGGATATTGGAGTTGAAATTAAATAATGAATATGAGCTCAAAGCACAGACTCACTGGTTCAGTTTGAAGGCATATACATCCAAATCATTCGACCAGTGTAGGAATTACAATCATTTTCATACTTAGCCGCCCATTTTTATGGGCCTAAAATGTAGTTAAGCAAACTAATAATCATGAATCAAATTGTCGTGGTTGCAAATCCTTTGCAGTCAATCACTGTCTGACGTCTGGAGCCCAGAAACATCAACAGACATTAGGTTTCTGCCCTGATGATGCTCTGCTAGAACTTTACTGCAACTGTCTTCAACCCTTTTCTGAGGCTTTTTTGCCTTTAGTTCCCTTCAGTAGCCACGTTTACATGCAGCCTGATAATCCATTAATAATCCGACTAATAGCTCAATTGGAATAGAATAGGTCCATGTATACACCTCAATCTTAATAGTCTAGTTCAGAATACAGTTTCCAACTGATTGATCGAGGTGGGTAATCCTGTAAATAATCCGTTAAATAGAAGAATAATATCCGTGTAAACGCCTGTATCTGATTACATTCCCTATCGGAAAGTTTAAGTCCATTCTGATCATGTTCGTCACGTCATAGTGAAAGTTTATACCGTTCAACATGGCGGAGCAGAAACTGGTCTGCAGAGGAGACGAAGTTTATGCTCTGATCTTTAAAAGACGGCGGTGGGACGGACGTCCAGCTTATGTGTCTCAGAACACGACGTCTTCCTTTCAGCCTTCTTTAATAAGGACATGTGAAGGACGTTTTCCTGAGTCTGACTTCATTTTAAATTCATTCACTCTGACTGGACTCACGTGCTGGTTGTCAAGGTAACATCCAAACTAAGTGGTTCTCTACGTAAGCGTGTAAATTTGGATCGGATTACTTGTAGTGAGCATGTAAACAGAGGTTTTGTATTACAGAAGCAAATCTGATCTTAATTTTGGAATTTTATCTTATCTTACAGCCTCTTATCTCTAGTTCGGAAATCTTAACCTGCTTGATCAAAGTCGACAATCAACTGTCATGTCTGTTTCCTAGCAACCGACCATACACACCCAGCTGAAACATAAACACATAATCAAAATAATCAAGTCAGTTAGTCAGACAGCTACAGTTACTGATGTAAAAAAGGTCAGACAGAACTGAAGTGTGATAAACCGTAAGTTGTGAATACTGTGAGAGCGCCCCCTGCTGTTTATCAGAGCGTCGCCGCTCCCCAGTTTCAGTCTCCATTACCCAAATGCTTTAGCCGAGCGCGCTAACGTTACTCCTCCTAATAAACAGACACACGTTCAGCTCTGTCTCCTCATTATTCACCACCATCACTGTAATATTTCATCATCAACATTAATACACGAAGGTGATCAGAGGGGCGGTGGAGATCGAGTCTGCAGCGTCTGAGATCTTTAAAACGCAGAGTTAGGAAAGAAAATCATCTCACAGTGAAAGCAGCGTTTTACAGTAGAAATAAATGGAGCTCATTATGCTGGTAGTGAACTATGCTGCTGGCACAGCTGCCTAAAAACCATAGAAACGGACCTTAAGCAGAAGTGAGGACCCTGTTGGGGTTCATCCTAAAGTTAGGACAGGATTTAGGAGGTTTAGTCTAGTTAGGATGTTTGTGTGATGCTGTTTTCTTATCTGGAGTTAATGATGAGATTATGAAGTTAGGAGCTGTTATTCTGGAATAGCTACTGAAC